TTAATTATTGTGCGTTTTTTTCCTTGCCAGACTTATAAGGCATCAGACAACTCCTGATGGCTAGTTTGAGGGACAGAAGAGGGGAGCTGACACTTATTTACATATATACATTTTCAATATTTAAAATGTATATAAAAGGTTACATATATGATCGTACACCTTTCCCCTCCCCCTTTGTGTGTCACTTGTCTTCTTAGCCCCGGACCTTCCAACTGGTTCTACAAGGGGCAGTTCCTTTCACATATGTGGAACCCCACTGACATCACAGAGCCTCATCAGGGAACAAGATCCCTATGGATCTGATTGCAGGATTGTGGCATTAAATTGTAAGTTCTTCAGGGCAGAAACCAAACTGGCCTCACTGAAGTCAATGGCAAAACTCCCACTTCCTGCAGCAGAGCCAAGTTTTCTCCCCAAGTATTCATATGTATTTGTACGATGCCTAGCACAACAGAACCGTGCTCCTGATTGGGCCTCTAAATGTTAATGCAAGAGAAGTAATAAATAATCATGGTAATTATAACTCTTGGTCTTTAAAGTAGGGCTTGCTCCCCTATAAACTACTTTTGCTTTCTATTGCATCCTGCTGAGAAGTTCCAGTTACAAACCTGTACATGTCTAGCTAACCAGACTGTGTCCTAAACACAGGTTTCGGACTTTACTGATGAATTATGCAAAAGGAAAAGATGGACAGCGAAGACAAATTTCTCCTCTCTTTATTGACACAGCTCAACTTAGTGCTCAGCTTTAACATTTGGCTTTCCCTGCGTATCTTACAGAGATGGACCCGAGCTGCAAACTTCAGCTCTGGAATCAAAGCTGGGGGATGTCTGGATCCAGGTCCCATCTCACATGCTTCTGTCAGTGGAAGCTCTGCCCGTCTAGGGGAATCAAAAAAAAATCAAAGGTATGCACTACTGTGATGAGCTATGAGGAAGATTTTGCCCTAAAAAAGAAAAGTCCTTTTCGAAACCTCAAATTCTAATAAAGGTAAAACGAAACATCAGTGATGTGTTCTAACACAGTGCTCTCATACACACAGAATTCTCTCAGTTTACATGAGACCTCATTTACCGGGGTAAGCAAGCATACTTGCAACGGGAAAGGGTAACGAACTAGGGACTCTATTCATTTGCTCATTTACTTCAAGTTTCTTATAACCATAAGCAAGGGGGAAGGCAACAACACATGGGAGGAAAAAGAAAAAGGTCTGGCCCAAAGCACAAGCAGGTCAGTTAAACAACTCCCATTGACTTCAGTGGGCTTTAGATCAGGCCCTTCAAGGGCTTTTTGTTTTGTTTTGTTCCTGGAAAATGTACTGACTGAGTACATTGATAGTATAGCAGAGTGACTAGCTTAGGCAATATCAGCTGTGGCTGGATGAACAAAGACCCAGAGTTACCATCCTCTGGGAAATCCTTTTCAAACTACCTGATGGAGCAATTTGGTGCTGCCCAAAAGGCAAAATATTTGGCTCTTCAAAAGTACTCTACAAGCTCCAGGATGAAAAGTCACTCCTGGCAAAGCTGATTTAGAAGAACTCAGAGCAGGTGGGGTATAATGCCACCAGAATTAAAGGAGGTCACCCCAAATCTTCCCATACTTTTCAACTGGGGGGGTATAATTTTAACCAAGGGTTTCTGGAAGTCCACTCCAACATAGGATCACAGAAACACAGTGGCCAATACATTTCTTTGTACTGTATATGCATTTTCACTCTTTTCAGGAGATGTCTCTTGAGTTTAATCTATTTTGTAACCAAAACTGGGGGAAGGGAAAGGTTCTTGAGCTTCCTAAACAGAAAGTTTCCAGTTCATGTTAAAATCAACCATATGACTGTTTTTAACACCAAGGTTTATCTACCACACTCAATCTGTGCACAAAACTCCCACTGTCAAAAGGCAGAGTCAGTGTGAATTTCAACTTTATAAAATTACTGTAATTCTATATATAAATGTTCAGGTGTTCAATCAAAACATATATCCATAAAGAAGTCTGACGGGATTTAAAATGTGATGAGAAATCACAAACAAAAATAGCATTATTTAACCTAGAAAGAAATTAGAGGGGACTAGACTGAGCTATTCAAAATGTTAAAGATTATAATAAAAAATAAGCCCTTTTTGTTTACCCTGTTCCATGACAGTGAAGAGTGACTTGAAATCTGTGAGTACAAATATAATAAACACAAAGCAATATTACTTCACAGGATGTATAATCCTGCTTGCCTTACACTGACTACAGACAAGACTATGGGAGCAGGATTTGACCCACTCAAGAGCCATTCATTTTGGCCCAGTCAATATAGAACTCACTGCTAATGAAAGATGTCATGGAATCCAATAGTCCTGCTGATTTCCAAAAAACATGAATAATATTATGACCATGACAACATTAGTCATTAAGTGAAATAAAGATAATCTAATCTCATGCTTCAGGGTATAAAACTGATTACCTGCATGAGCTAGGAAGACATTCCCAACCCATCCATCAATGTACAACTGGCTTGGTGCATTATGGGGAGTTGTTGCATTCCTCCAGCATCAGATATCAGCCGCTAGAGGAGGCAGATTAGAGGAATCAGTGGTTTGATCCCATATGACAAATCCCATGTTCCCATTTTTGGTCAAATTTAAATTGCATGGAAAATAAAGTAAAATACAATTAGAAAAACCTACTAAACTTTTATACTTTTTGGTACCTTAAAGCCTTATTACACTTTCATTAGGATAGCCATGTGACCTAATTAGAACAAGAAATCAAGGGTTCTGTTGCCAGCCCTGCCACTCATTTCCCATGTAACCTTGGGCACAATAATTGAACTGCCCATGCCTTAGTTTACTCATCTTTAAAATGGGATGCTAATGTTTATTTGCACCTCCTTAATCTTGTTGTGAAGTGTAATTATAAATTCATCCAATGCTATCTACAACTGCAGTATTTAATCTTTCATTTAAAATTCTGGTGAGTACACTATTGCAAAAGACCCCAGCTTTCCGTGATCCTACCGCTATAGAACTTGACACAGAATCAGCAGCCAAGCAGAGCATTTGATATTGGCAATACGAGAGGAAGAAAAAGATCAAAATGTTTGCTGGTTTATTATGAAGCTGACATTTTAAAACCAAGAAGAACATTCTTTGACCAACAATTTCTAGGTCCCAGTTCTGCTCCCATTGATGGCAATGGCAAAATTCCCACTGACTTCAATGGGAGTAGAATCAGCCTCCAAAGTCTTCATCTGACATCAGTGCCAAATCCAACACACCGTACCACTTCAGGCAGGAACATGAAATGAACTTAGCAAAGCTCAACTGAAGGCATGGAAGGGACTGGATTTCAGATAAATATATTAATGCTAACGATACATTCTGCAACTTTTTAAATTGCTTTCCTCCCCTCTGCCCATCTTTCTGATTCATGTTACTAGACTAATGCAGAGATTGGCAGCACATAAATGGTCAGTGTTAGACATCATGTTGCTGATCTAAACTTTTGTAGTCTAAAGAGAAACCTCCATTTGGTATCAATAGGGCAAATTCTGAGGTCCTTTTTCCATTTTTATTCATATAAGCTCCCACTCACTTCAAATTTCAATAGAAATTTGCCTCAGTGAAGACTAAGCAGGTGGTCAGGGTTTAACCCAAAGTGTCATCTGTGTTTTGTTGGTGGGAATGATCTGCACCCATTTCATTATTTTTATGTGGTTATGTGTGATAGTCTTGATTGTGTCTCCTAATGCACTGCAAGGGTAAAATAGATTCCAGAGGCAATGAATAATTTTACGGCCATGGAATTTTAAAAACCAACAGTCCTGTAATTATATGTATAATCGAGGAGTCTGCGGGTGTGGAACTGCAGACAATACTTGGCATGTTTGCACAGCCACAGAATTACCACCAGTCAAGTCACTGTAAATCCTAATAGCATGGTTGCAATAAAAATTAGTTTTAAAGCGCTACAAAACTCTACAAGCTTTAGACCACAGAACAACAATGGAAAGATAAAAAGTGAGCCTATTAGAACCATTTTTAAAGACATAGAATGAATTAAGTATATAGTGAAGATAGTTTCAAAATATGTTTTTGATTATTTATTCTCAGAACTAGTTCATAAAAACTCAAAGTATTTAAATGCAAATAATAGTAATAAAAATAATAAAGTTGGCATGGACTAAAGAAGCTAGATGGGGGGGAAAGGTACCAGAGGAAGAACAGCAAATGCTGGATAGATCAGATTTCTACAGCTACAGGTAAATTATGTTCTCTATGGAAATCATTTTTATGGAAAATTAACAGCATGTTTTGCTATTTTAGTGGAAATACACACACAGGCTTTTTCAGTTTAATTAAATACAAAACAAAAAGTGGTGGCTAGGATGAGAAAGCTGAACAATTTCACAATGAAAGCATCTTCTCTAATTTGTCAACTGTGTCTATTTCTATTATCGCTGTCAGTGTGGGACACTCTTTTAGCTAGATAGCTAAAGTTACCAATGACGGATGAGGAAAGCTCCTGAAGAACTTCAGGCATCCCGTGGAATTAACCAAATTCCTTAAATTAACAGGAAAGAAAGCTGCTAAACAAATCGGGGCTTTATTTCTGTCTGATCTTCACCTGCTGAAGATACAAATAATCAGGGGGAGCTTCTTCAGTATTGCACTGATGGGGATCAGAGGTTTTGTGGGATTTGTTTTGGGTTTTTTTTTTTTTTTGGAAAAGCAAAGGTATTAAGTTTTATTTCCCCAGCCACATATTAAAAGCAGATCAGCAGCATCGCTGGGGGGAGATTAAGAGCATGCCCGTGGCTAGCGGGCTGCATCCAGGCTAAAGACACCCAGCACACCATAAAGTTGCGAGGATAACCTAGCCCAGCAGCAGCTAACTTTCCCCCGCTCCGGTCCTGATCCGCCAGGCAGCGCCCCCCCGCAAGTGCCGGGCGGGGCGTCCCTAGGTGGCCCCGGGCCGGGCAGGGGGTGACCTGCAGGGAGAGCTCTTACCGCTGGAGCGCCGGACGATGTTCTCCAGGAAGGTGTTCTGCGGCGCCACCAGCCCTCGCTTGCCGCCCGGCATCCTGCGCCTGCAGAGCCGGGCTCTGGAGCGGCAGGGGCGCGGCGGTGGCGGCTGGGGGCAGCCGGGGAGGTGTCTCGCGCCCAGTGCCGGTGAGTCGCTCCGGCGAGGATGGAGCAGCTCATGGTAGTAGCGCTCGGGCGGCGGGGGGAGCCCAGGCTGTGGCGGTGCCGCACGCCGGGCTCGGGAACCGCAGGCTCCGGGCAGATTGCGCCTGCGCGCCTGCCGGGCCGCCGCTGCCGGGCAGCATGGTCCCGCGAGCTCGCCCCCTGCGAGCCTGAGCCCGCCGGGCGGGAGCAGCGCGCGCGCTCCGCTCCCCGCGGCGCTGGAGCAACCCGGGACCCGGGTCAGGCGCGGGCCCCGAAGGGCGGCGGCTGCCCCCGGCCCGCACCCTGGACGGCGCGGGGCGGCCGCTCCCGGCTTAGCGAGCGGGACTCGGAGCCCCCCGCAGCCTGCCTAGCTCCGCCGGACCGTGCAGCTGGGGCGGCCCCGTGCGCGCCGCGGAGCGGGGGATGCGCTGCTCCAAGCCCCCGCCGAGCCCCGGCTGCGCAGGTTGCGGGGGGGGGGGTGCACGAGGCAGAAAGCCCCGGGGCTGGGGGAGGCAGAGCGCGCTGCCAAGGAGGCTGCGGGATGGTTTCCCGGCAGGCTCCGACCTGCCCGCTGCCGAAAAGTTACGGGGCGCTGCTCCAGCGGGAGCCCCGTCCTGCGAGGGGGCGGGGGGAGCGCAGCTGAATAATTCAGGAGATTTGGGCGTTTGATGCAAGGGGCAGGCAGCCAAGCAGCCAGCGCTGCCCGGAGCCGGTGGGGGTGGGGGGTGAGGACAGGCGGGGAGATGGGGCTTTAACCCCTGGCGCTCCCCGCCCGCAACACCAAGCTGGGTTGGGGCCGGGGGCGAAGCCTCCCGAGCAGAGACGGGGCTGCCGCGCCTGGCGTGGGCTCGCGGAGCGAGATGCGGAGCAGGAGTGAGCCCGAGGCTGGGCGAATCCCGCTCCAGCTGGGGCTGAGAGGGGCGCGGGAGAGACCCTCCCACCCCCAGGGATCTCGCCCCCTCCCGGCGGGAAAAGACCCTCAGCTTCCGCGACTGGGCACCTGCGGGCGGTGTGCTACAGCCTGGTTTACCTGCGCCCTGGGATGGGATTGCCCGGGGACAGGGGTGGGGAAGAGCCCTTCTCTCCCCCAGACTCTTCTATCTGAAGGTGCCCACAAACCCCTGGCCTAGGGGGTTATAATCCCCCCGCCCTCCCCGTGCAGGGGGGTTTAAACTCCCCTAGGCTGATCAGAAACCAAGCTCCAAGGAAGAGGGGAAATGCTGCAGGACAGGAGCTGGTTGAGGAAAGGAAAGTAGGGTTCCTAAACCTCCAGGATTGTCCTAGGAGGCTCTAGGAATTAAAGATTAATCTTTAATTAGAGATTACATCATGTTTTGAAACCTCCAGGAATACATCCAAACAAAACTGGCAACTCAAAAGGAAAGCAAAGCTGAGGATGAAGGACATAAATTGGTTAGTCTCTAAGGTGCCACAAGTACTCCTTTTCTTTTTACCCCCTGACCCGGCTTCTCCCAGCTCATCAGCCAGGCCCTTCCTTGCAAGCTTTGGAGGTTGCTGCCCCTGCACCCAGATTTTCCCATCTACATAGTGTTGCCTCTTGTTAGTGAATTGTGGCAAACAGCCCAATTTACATTGGTGAGGGTCTTCCTTAGTATCTGGTTTAGGTAGCACCTGTTCCAGGTTTGGGAGGCCTTTGCCTCCTACTCCTGTGTGCAGCGCTCTTTAAATGGCAGTTGTATAAGCCCCAACATACCTGCTTTTAAAGGGAGACTCTCATCGTTTTTATACCCCAATCCGATCAGCCTAAAGCAGGTTTATAACTGAGGGGGGAAGTCCTCCACATGAGGCCATGGGCCTGGCCCCCTGGAGCCACCATAATGCGTGGAGCAGGAGTAAAGATGCTGCATGCAAGGGTAGAATAAAACATCAGCCTTACACGGGGGTGATTTCCATCCACCCGTCCCATGGCAATTAAAACTGGCTTTATGGTCAGGTTATGGCAGCAGTATGGCCCAGGTCAGTTGCAGCACTCCAGAGAATTTGGCCTTGAATGGCTTCTGCATTTTTCAATGTACTATTGTATCATTGAGAAACAGCCCCCAGCCTATCACTACTTTTTTGTTTTAATCACTAAAAAACAGTGCTTCATGGTCTCGCTACAGCGCCAATGTAATAAACCTAATAATCACTATAAGACTTGTGCTAACATTAATATATGATGACTTACTTGAGAACCCAGCAACTCCCCATCAGGATGTGGGCTTTAGTAGGCTAGGACCCGTGTAAACACTGCTAGACATGGTACCTGCCCCAGGCAGTTTACAGTCTACAAGACCAGCAAGATATAAAAGCTGGGAGAACAGGAAGACTCAGATACATATTTTTATATTTACACATTTTTTAATGTTTATAATTACATAACTAAGTATCAGCTTTCTTTCACTATCAGTGTTCTGCCCCAACTGGTCCTCAGTCTAACCACTCAGTCTAACCATTAAAACTTGGCTGATACCTTGCAGCTGTCATGGCAGAATTGAGTCCAGATTATAAATGCCTTAGGACAGGTATGGTGTTCTACTGTGTTTCTGCAGCACCTAGCACAACAGGTGTGACTGAGGCACTATTCCAATACAAATTATAAAAACGAATGCAATATTGCCAACTACAACCATTCAAAAATTATGAGTCAGGCACACACAATCACCCAATTAGCTTAAAAATCATCATCTTTAAACAAATAACATCTGGGGTTCTTTCTGGCTTTTGAGCCTCGAAATACAAATAAAAGCTGAGATTCTCATATATTCACATGACCCCATGAGCTGGGGCTAGGGGAAAAAATAAAAAATGAACACAGGATAAAAATCACAAAAACTGGCAACCTGGGTAATGATCTGTGACACAGAGCAATGTTTTAGCAGAAAGTGTAAAACTGGCCACACTTGGATGGTTATGCATAAAGAGAGGGAGGCAGCTGGGGCAGTGATGTCTCGGCCATCTACAACCCCTTTATTTTATTTTGGTATCCAGCACTATCGTACCTCTCCTTTCCTACATCAGAGTCCCAAAGGAACAGATGAGTCAGTGTGTGGTAAGGGAGTGCACCTTAATTGCTGTGCATGCTTTTCTATGCTCTTGACCAATTCCAGTTTCCCCCTCCAGCATAAGTTATATAGTAATTCTGACAACAACTTGTCAAGGATTGGAGAATAAAATCCCGTGAATGTGGCAGGGATCCTGGAAGAAAGCTGTGTGCCTATTGTTTCTGCTTATCCTATTTTTTAAGAACCCTTTCAGACTACATAGGATCACAGAAGGAAAGATGGAGAGGAGCTATTAGGTCCTCTGGCCCATCCCTGCCAGTACAGTACCCTGCAGAATATTCTCAGGTGTTTAGCTCACTTGCACTGACTCAGGTGCTAGTGCCCCCCCTTAGGAGATTATTCCACAGCAAACATCCTGTTTATAATCAGAATCTTGTCAATTTCTCGCCACTTTGGTTTTCTGGATCAAGGCCTAACTAAAAATCAATTAAACTTTTAATGGGCTTAAAACTAAACATGCTTCAGTGCTCTGCCATATTGGGGGCCTTTTCTTGCTGAAACCCGTAAGTCTACTATTTAGAGCCCCAAGTTTCCTGTCAGTACATGCAGCAGCCCAGTAAATAGTTACCTGGACTGCTGAAAATCCAAGCTCAGGTTACGTTCTCATTTGCACTAATGCAAATCAGGAGTAGCTACAGTGAAATCACACCAACATAAAACTGGCACAGGAACAGAATCAGTCTACTAAAAGTTTGACATTTTGGGCCTATCTCCTCAGAAACAGAGCTGAAATGTTCAGGGGCTCTCCTTCCAGGAATGATTTTTTAAAAGCTGCCCCCAATGAGCACTGCCCCAGATATAGAAAAAGTTGGCTTCTAATAATTGGCACGTGGAGTACTCCATGGCTGTTTCTTTAGGGAGACATAAGGTGGCCCTTCGGGTGCACCCTTGCTTAGCCAAACTGACTGACCTAGCTGGATAATATTTCTAGTTAATCTGCTTCCAGCCCAATCTGGATTCTTATTTATTTTTATCTATTTCACGCCTCACTTCTGAAAACAAAGCCAGCTCTTTGAATTTTGGATCCACACCCTTGCTTGCTTTCTCTTTCTGCTTATGTTTACTTCACTTTTCCTCAAAATTTTTTAAAATGGCAATTGAGTCCAACACTCAGCCCCTCTGCTACGCTCCAGGCATCCAACGCTGAATACCACATTTTTTAAAAATTAGTTCTACCACTCTAGTTTCAGTGGCACTAATTGGACTGTAGGTTTTTGAGGGGCGCAAGCTCCAGGGAGAAATCCTTAAATGTCACCGCTGTCTGGAAGGACAGGAAGAGTACAGTGTACATGGTGGGACCAGAGCCTTCCTTCAAAACATTTAACTAAGGTGCCAGAAGGTGCTCTGGAGGGCATCTCATTTCTGTCCTGAATTGCTCAGTAAGTCTAAAGATAACCTCGAAAAGAAAAGGTCTGATGTGAGAGACAGCAAACAGCAAACGGCAAAGGAGACTTTTGTCGTCTTGTGGGGATCTTCAAATTATACTTGGTTGTTAGTTGGAAACAGAGTGTCAAACTAGCAAGCAATGAGCTGTCAGATAGATTTGAGATTGGTGTAATCTGGAAAAAGCCTGCTAACCCTTTTCCTTCCTAGTCAAAAATGCCTCTCTCAACTGTCTGTTTTTAAGTGGAACAGAAAATTCATTTGAGTTTCCAATATACTTTCCTGCCATAAAAGTGCTAATCCAAATCATGCCCTCCAGTCTGTTCATGCACCACCACTTGAAATCCTGTGGTTTAGGGAACCACATATTTTAAAAAATTAAATACAATAATTCTGGTTTAAGAAAAAACGTCAATTTCAAAATTCTTTAAAACAAAAAATTATATATATTTCCAAAAGGAAGGAACCAAGGAATTAGAACATTTGAGTACTTGAGTGGAACAGTAAATATTATTATTACTGTATTACCATAGCACCTAGAAGCCTAGTCATAGACCAGGACCCCATTGTGCTAGGCACAGTACAAACAAAGAACAACAATGGTTCCTTCCCCAGGAGCTCACAATTTAAGACCACCACAAGAGATAAGGACACATAAATGAAGGGGTATGTGACGGGGCTCCAT